CGCGCGGGGTATATTGTGTATTTATGGGAAAAGCTTCTTTTTTTAATTCCTGCTTCCCCCCTTTTTCCAATTTAGGCCTATGCATGTTGCTTTTCAAATAACTTGCTAATCGCGCTTTAATTAACACATAATTCCATTAAAATTAATCAAAGTCTTACTGCTCCTGTGTTTATCTCAAGAAATGCACCAATGGTGAGGAAGTTTCCTCTCACGCCGAGGCGATTGAAACGGTCAGTTTTTTTCAAATTGTTTCCGGCGAGATGCGCCGCCGCCTTACATTCCGGTGCCTTGGGGCTTTCGGGAAGACGGTCAAAAGATTGTGACTGCAAGATCCTCATATGTGGTGATGGAGATCTATCACAAATGGCATATTCAGCGGACAAATACGCGATCTGAGATTGCGTTGGAGATGGCGAATCATATCTTCCCCAGGAGATCGAGGAGCAGATCGGCGATTTACTCAGACGATATCCCGCGAGACATGATGCTAATGATGAGTACAAGGAAGGTTTCCTCTAYTGYTATCCCGAGGGATATGAGGACAAKGATGTTTATAAGGAAGGTCTTTGATTCAAATCTTCTTTACACCAATCAATCAAACAATTTATGGAGAGTCTTATTCAGATTTGATTACATAACCGATTGCAAAGAGATCTGATTGCAATGGGATTCGCTTGTATCTCAATCAAAGGATATGATCAAATCCTATTCCGAGGGCAAAGAGATGTGGCAGAGTTATTGCGATATCGCACAGGCCTATATAAAAAGACAGTGGATCAAACCGTTGTGTCTATCAAACCTGCATTTGTCTTTAATCCTCTTGCTTTCAATTGCAGTCCTGTGTTACCTTATTTCTACGACCAAATGGCTTTCTTTGGGAAGATGATTGCGGCGGAACAAGACACAAAGAGGTCCAAGCCACTCCAATTACCTCCGATTAATAATGAGGCGATCCTGAAGAAGTTCGAGAAGACTTTGGTGGGTAGAGTGCTCAATGATGAGATCCCGGAGAGTCGAGTGAAAGCCATGATTGCGTTCCTGCCTTCCGTATGGAAGTGTGAAGGCCGAGCAGAAGGAGTTAAAATGGGGAGAGGAAGCTTCCATTTCAGGTTTGAGGAGGAGTCGACACTTCAATCGATCCTGGATAACGGGCCATATCACTTCGACGGATGGATGATTGCAATAAACCGGTAGGTGCCTACGGTGCGCAATGACTTCCCCTCCACAATTCCCTCTTGGGTGAAGATTATGGATCTTCCGTCTCAATACCGTGAGGATGCACAAGTGGAGAGAATTGGAAAGGATTTGGGTGATCTCCTAACATGGAGGATAGTTGTGCCTTATCCCATGGTGCGGGTCGAGGTGGGCTGCGATGTCCCGCTCATTCTTTACCGAGAAGCGAGATCGGATACGGGAGAAGTTTTCAGGATCAATTTTGATTACCTGAAACTACAAAATCATTACAAAACAAGTCTGAGGATGTCGCATGATGCTAGGGCTTGTCCGAATTGGTGGGGAAGGCAACAGAGCATAGTTGAACCGGCGGCTCGACACATGGAGCAGCAAGACGGGCAACGACAGAGATCTCTTAAGGTGGAGCCTGTCCGACCAAACGGAACCCGAGAGAACCAACCCAAACGACGCGGCGGCAAACCGGGGGACAGGGACTCACCAAAACTGCTCCGCCGTGATTTGATGAATGAGCTGGGAGAGGCCCATGACGGAGAATAGAGAAGAGCTTCTAAGCTCTCGACTAAGGAGTGGGTGAAGAAATCTTTCGGCCATGGTGACAAGAAGGAAAAGAAAACGGAACCACAGGGAAGCCTCCCTCTAGCGCCGGAGCCGGCATTGCTGGTAGCAGAATCCTCTGATGTCGAGCCCTTTGGTACTGGGAAACGGTTCACGAAGCCGATGTCGCCAGGGCTGTGTATGCTCAGAATGAGAAGTGGGAAAAGATGGAGAAAGAGAGGCCGAGGCCGGAGGAGATTCGCCAATGAACGACGGTGGAGACGAAATGCCGGTCGGAGGGGGCTACGATGTCGAAGGTTTCGGGAATTGGGCTTCAGGGTAGTCGGGCTGAGGCGATTAACCGTCTGGGCTGGTGATTGGGCCGGTGACGACAGAAGAAGGAGATGGGCTCCAAGTGTTGACAACTGTAGATGGGTCGAGGCTATGTAAGGCCCAATCTAGAATTTTTATGGACCAGATTCCCCTTTTGGGGGCCCAAGATCTCATTTCCCCACTTAAAGATATTTTGGGGGAGGCCCAAGAGGAGAAAGAACAAATGCCAAGGGGTGGGTCTCGGAATGTGCCAAAAGGGCCAAGGCGAATTGACCAGCGAATTAGCAAGGCTCTGGGAGTTAAGAAGAAGATCGAACACAGTCCGTTCTGGGGCTGTCGGATCTACAAACATGCAACCTTAGCTAAGGAGGACCCGTTCTGGGAGAATCGGCTTTGAATGGTGTGTTACTACCATCGTCCTCTAAGACGGGTCCTGATGAGGGGTGAATCTCGAAGAAACCTAAAAAACCGGTGGTTAAAGGGAAACCACCGGGAGAAGCTTAAATGATCATAAGTTGGAACTGTCAGGGGGTTGCGAGAGTTCCGTAAGAAGAT